TTCACTGCTTAATTTCATAACTTAACTGTAATGCTACTATAATTAAGAAAGTGTCATAATGGTATAAGAATAGACATATAGAGCAATGAAACAGTATTGATAGTCCAGAAATAAACCCTTTTATTTATGGTCAGTTAGTTTTTGACAAAATTGTCAGAACAATCCTTTGGTGATAGGACACTTTTTCAAAAATGGCACTAGGAGAATTGCATATCCATATGCAAAAAAAAATGAACTTATACCCTTAATGTCTTAGATACTTCCTGCTGCTGTAGCAGAAATAAAACAAGTTGGTGGCTTTAAAGAACAGAAATTTATTTTATCATAATTATGGAGGCTAAAAGTTGAAATCAGTGTGTTGACATGTCTGTTCATCCTCGGTGATAATCCTGGGACTTCTTTTGTTCTTCGTTGTTCCCTAGCTTGTTGATCTTCACATGAATTGCTGTACAGTCTGATCTTCTTATAACTTAGAATTGATTATGCACTAGTGCAGCCTCATTAACATAACAAAAGAGAAGCCCTCTTTTCAAACATGATCAAATCCACTGGTCCAGGAGTTAGGATTTCAGCATGTACTTTAGAGGGACACAATTCAATCCATAACACTGTACATAATAATTAAAGTGAATTCTAGACCAAAATGTAAGTGTAAACATTGTAAAGCATTGAAGAATGCAGGAAGTATCTTTGTGCCTTTGGGCTAGACAAATAGATACAGTCTCAAAAGTATGAGTCATAAAATGAAAAATTGTTGAATTGGGCTTACTTAAATTTAAATGCATTTACTTTTCCAAAGATAACATTTGAAAATAAAAATATATGATGTAGATTGAGAGCAAAGATTTATAAATCATATATCTGATAAAGGCCTTATAACCAGAATATATAAAGAATTTCTACATCTCATCAATAAGAAATATTTCTGTTTAATATAGGAAAAATACTGGAGTAGACATTTCACCAAACAAGACATAAACTAGCTAATAATCAGTTGAAAAGGTGTTCAACAGCATTAGTCATTATGAAAATTAATTTTACTGTTGTACTAATAGACCACTTTTTGCTGATTCCTTCAGTTCAACTTGGACTTCTTCCTTCACTATCGTTGGTTTTTGATTATATGCTACCTCCTGAGATGATTGGATGTTGACCAACTCTTTTTTGTACAGGGACTGTGTATTCCTTCCATCTTCTTTTGGTGCTTCCTGTATTGTCTAATATTTTGGCCATAGAATCTTTCAGTATTGCAACTCGAGGCTTAAATTTTTTCCTCATTTCTTTTAGCTTGAGAAATGCTGAGCGTGTTCTTCCCTTTTGGTTTTATAACTCCAGGTCTTGGCACATTTCAATGTAATACTTTGTCTTCTGGAGCAGCCCTTTGCAGTCTTCTGTTCAGTTTTTTTATTTCATCATTTCTTCCATTTGCTTTAGCTACTCTCCATTTAAGAGCAAGTTTCAGAGTCTTCTTCTGACATCCATTTTGCTTTTTTTCCTTTCTTATCTTTTTAATTATCTTTTGCTTTCTTCATGTATAATGCTATTGATGTCATCCACAACTTGTGTGGTCTTTGGTCCTTGGTGTTCAGTATGTCAAATCTATTTTTCAGATAGTTATTAAATTCAGATGGCATATAATCAAGGTTGTATTTTGGCTCTTGTGGACTTGTTTTAATTTTCTTCAGCTTCAACTTGAACTTGCATTTGAGCAATTGATTATCTGTTCCATAGTCAGCTCCTGGCCTTGTTTTGAAGGAATGTCAGGTGTTAGTAAGGATATAGAGACATTCAAGGGAGCTCTGGTAGCGAAGTGCCTAAAGCACTTGACTGCTAACCAGAAGGCTGGTGGTTCAAACCCACCAGCCACTCCTCGGAAGGAAGGTTGGGCAATCTACTTCCATAGTGATACTGCTTCAGAAACCCAAGGAGGGGTCACTTTGAGTTGGGTCCGACTTGACAGCACATAACAACAACAACAGAGACATTCAAACTTTCACTCACTGCTGTTGGGAATATAAAATGATGCAACTACTTTGCAAAACAGTTTAACAATTTCTTAAAAAGTTAAGCATATTTATATTTACAGCACATTTCAAGTGCTCATTAGTCACATGTAGCTAGTGATTACTATATTGAACAGTGCTTTTGGAGCAGGGATTGGCTAATTAGAGCCTGTGGACAAAATCTGACCCATCACCTGTTTTTGTAAATAAAATTTTATTAGAAAACAAATATATGCACATACTTAGTTAAACATAAATTAACCAATTGACCTAGAGAAATGCAAGCATACAGTCACACAAAGACTGTATTGTGTAAACATTCGTATAAGCATTATTTTAATAGCTATTAATTGGAAACAATCCAATTGTCCATCTCCTGGTAAAATGTGGTTCAATAGGGGCATAGGTATAGAATGGAAACATACTCAAGGGAATTTTTTTGGAGATGGGAAAGTTCTAAAATTTGAGTAGTTGTGAGATGGCACAGATCTATAATGTGGAATGTATAATTGAATGTATATTCACTACCAGGGAATTTTATAGTATGTAAAATATACCTCAGTAAAGCTATTAAAAGTAATCTTTCTGTGTGTGTATGCATATATTTGTATGTATCAAGAGAATGTGACAAAGAAAATAACAATGGGGCATCTGAAAGATGGGAATTCTTGTACTAATCTTGTATCTTTTCTCTAAGTCTGAAATTATTTCAGAACATTAAAATTACAAAAAATAATTAGAAACAGTCTGATTTGCTTTTATAATTTTTAAGACATTTCTTCAGCTTCATGATTAGATTATTACATTTAAGCAATCAACATAATGAGTATAAAAAAAAAAAACCCTACATTAAAACCTTTTATTTAAACTAAAATAACCTGTTATGTATTAGTCACAAAGTCCCCAAGTTTTTTGTCCATACACATGTTGTTGTTGTTGTTATGTGCCCTCAAGTCGGCCCCAACTCATAGCAACCCCTCCTTGGGTTTCCAAGGCAGTATCACTACAGAAGTAGATTGCCCAACCTTCCTTCCAAGGAGTGGCTGGTGGGTTTGAACCGCCAGCTTTCTGGTGAGCAGTCAAGTGCCTTAGGCACTATGCCACCAGAGCTCCTCCATACACATGAGTATTGCGTAAAACATGCCTTCTTTTTAGCAGGTAGGCCCTGCCACCACTGTTCTCGTTTGAGTTCACAAATCTGTTGTAACCTGTAGCCTGCCTGTCACCTCTCTGGCTCTCCTCTCCTGCTAAGTTTTGTTTCCTGGAAGTCATTAAAACCTTCTGCTGCTGCCGTAGGTACTGCTGTTGCTTCAACTACCGTAGCCACCTTGGTTTCATCGTTTGGCAAAATACTGACCTTCACCACCATAAGGGCCGTAGCTTCTGCCTCCAAAGTTTCCTCCCTTCAGAGGTCCAGAATTTGAAGCTTCATCATCGTAATTGCCAATATCATTGTAGTTTCCACCTCCTCCATAATTGCTTCCATTATATTATCAAATCCATTATAACCATCCCCACTGCCTCCATATCCACCACCACCATGGCTACTACCCCACCTTGCCCACTGAAGTTTCTTTCACTACCAAAGTTGTTCCTACCAAACCACCTCCACAGTCACCACTAAACTTTCCAGAACTACTTTCACCTTTTTGGCTGGAAGATGCACTGGCCATCTCTTGCTTTGACAAGACTTTCCTTACTTCACAGGCTTGTCCATTCACAGTATGGTATTTCTGAATGATAATCTTATCTGCAGAGTCATGGTCATCAGAAGTTACAAAAGCAAAGCCTCTTTTTTTGCCAGTGCCTCCAAACCAAACCAAACCCACTACCGTTGAGTCAGTTCCAACTCATAGTGACCCCTATTGGGTTTCTGAGGTGGTAAATCTTTACAGAAGTAGATTGCTCAGGCTTGCTTCCATGGAGTAGCTGGTGGGTTTGAACCACATCCTTCTTGTTAGCAGTCAGATGCCTTAGGCACTGTGCTACCAGAGCTAATTACTTCAGTTTTCCCATACTGCTCAAAATAATCTCTTAGGTGATGTTCTTCAGTGTCTTCTTTAATGCCACCAGCCATGATCTTTTTCAAAGTTAAGTGGGCAACCAGTCTTTGAGAGTCTTCTCATGAGACAACCCTCTTTGGTTCTGTAACTTTTCCATCTGCCTTGTGTGGCCTGAGATTCACGGCTGCATCCATCTCGTCCACAGTAGAGTAAGTGACAAACCTAAAGCAGCTGGAGCATTTGCTGTTTGTATCTCTTATTACCACACAGTCCATGAGCATCCCCCATTGCTCAAAATGGCTCCTCAGACTCATCTGTCATTTCAAAACTCAGCCCTCTGCTGAAGAGTTTCACAGCTGTTTTGGCTCTTTAGGAGACCGTGACTTAGACATGACGGCAGTTGGGAAAAAAGGCTTTAACGATGGTTATTGACAGTGTCCATGGGCAGAAAAGTGCTTTTATAATGTTTTATAAACAAAAAAAATTTATTTGCTTTTAAAAATTCAATCCTGAAGTGTCATTTCATTTCAACTTTTAAATTCCCTACTCTTTGATTTACTGTTTATGTTGTATAGATAATCTACTTTTTATTTTATTTTATTTTTTGCAATGCAGTTGTTGGGCAAGCTCAGTCCTAAGTGAATCCTTTCTGCTGTATACATGTATCTAGTCTAAGCTATTTTTTTTTTTTTTTTTTTTTTATTATTGCTACCTGTGGAATTACATTCTGAGGATATTTCTGTTTCTCTCCTCTGCAGGTCAATGTGCAGATGTTAATAAGCAATGCATTTTTGGTTGTAGTATTGAAGCATAGCTGTTTTCCTTTTGATAGTGTTCCATGAGCTCAGATGTTTGCATCTTCGCTAGGTTATGTTTTGTTTTTTTCATAAATGAAGAAGTTAAATGCAAACGTTAATACATTTTTTGAAAGCAGTAAATTAAAGTGAAGTTGTGTGACTCATCTTAATGTATATTTATGTGTTTTATTTTAAAGGTCATTCTGTGAGACTACTGGGTCAGAAAAAGGATAATGGAAAACGGTTGGGGGGAGCACGATTGGATTTGCCGAAGATTAGGAAGAATCCACTGATAGAAATAATTTCCATCAATACTGGGTAAGCTGCTTTCAAACTTGTTCATGTTATAGAGTAAAACATGCAAATGCTGATACTTGTATAAGATGGAAACTTGTCAGAGAAGGAAAATCCAAATATTTTCCATTAATAGAAAGTGATATGGGCTCAAGCATAGCAGCAATTTTGAAGATAGTGTAGAACCAAACAGTGTTTTGGTCTGTTGTATATTGGGTCGCTAGAAGTTGGAACTAACTCCATGGCACCTCATATAACAATAGAGAGCTATTGAAAAGTGTCAAAGATGGAAAACTTTTGAGACCTGGAAAAGGAAGAGAATCCTGTTACATTCTGACTGCCCCAGATTTCACTGCATTCAATATAGTCCATGATTTAATTTTTCTTTCTTGGTCATGTGACATTGGCAAGTAGTTGAATATTTTCTTGGGGAAAAATACAAAAATTCTAAAGCATTTGAATAGAGAGGTCCTTGATTTATGATGCTGTCCCATCATAAGTTTCTTCTGATACAAGTCAAGTCCCTCATTTTTTTTTAAAATTTTTTAGTTTCCATTATTATTATCTTTTATTATCAGTATCTTTATAAATCCTGTCTTTATGTTGGGGGTTGGAAACATTGCATATAAACTTAGCAATATATTTTAATACATACAATACATACCTTTAGAAAAACACAAATCATAAAATCATAAAAATTTACTCCAACAATGAAATTAACAACTGATGCTTCTGAGGATATGAAATGCTGAATACGATCGTACTATAGGCCCCATCTACAATGAAGTCAGAGTTGTAACGGCTGTCAGACATGTGCGCAGTTCGCTTGAATGTTGTTAGAGTTGAATTATTTCCCAACTTTTTATTCGTTATGCCTCCCAATACTGACATCAGTTTCATGTAGACCAGCCATAGCCTGCTATATGGCATGTTTTGAATGGTAAATCATAACATTGAACATCTGTGAGTGAACATCTGAGAATAATAACATCAGCAAATTACATTATATGTAGTACATATTACTAAGGATAAGATGTACAAACAAAGAACCTGGATGGTGGTAAGTGTACTTCGTTGTAACTCGAATGCATTATAAGTTGGAAACTCCCTGTACAGAGCCATCTAAAGTGTCTCCTGTATGTAAATTACACAATATTTGCAGCAAGATTTTATGCCTTTGGTTAATTTTATTCTTCGTAATCATTTTTGGAAATAAACATGAATTTTGTTTTCTAATTATGCCCCTGATTAAAATGTTTTTGGTGTATTTTATTTTTAGGGATGGTTAACATACCCATCATCCTTCACTATTTTTTTCAGTAAGCTTCTGGTAAATGTTGCCCAAGATAATAACTGTACTTTGATTATTAACTATGTAAAATGCATATCTTATACTACTACCCTTGGAAAAAACTGTCATGATTGAATATTAAGTATACTTTTAACTTGACTGCTTTGGAGAGCAGTCTTGCCAGATTATAAACTCTAGTATGTGCCTTAATTGTTTTATTTGCATTTATTGAATTTGCTTTCTGACTCCATGTGGAAAATTATGTGACTATTTAAAGAATATTTAAGTATTGAATTCTGAATCATTGAGTTTTATACAAGTAGTCCCCAACATACTTGAGTTATGATGATCTGGCCTTAATGACTGTTCTATTTTATTTATTTATTTATTTAGGTACTCTTATGGAGCTTATGGAGGAAATGTTACTTTTTTCACCACTTTATAGTACTGTATTTTTATGTATATAACCATACCTTCTATGTCTGTTTACTGATCACTCCCTGCCTCCAGGAGGTAGTTTTGTAAGTAGAGTTATGTTTTTTTTTTTTCTTTTGTTTGTTTTAAACATGTTACTTTTTTTTTTTTTTTTTTAAAGTAGCATAGCATGTTTACAAAAATACTTCCTGGGGGTTGAGAGCAATTGGCAAACAAATGTAGAAGGCTGTGTTATTTGGGTAAAAATACAGCACTGTAGTCTGAAATTTTGGTGAGGCTAAGGCTTTCTATTCCTTAAATCACAGAGATTCCTTACTCACCCATGCAACTACCTTTCATCTTCCATAGATTTAAGTTGTCCATTTTTTAACTTCATTTTCTTCTCTCTTTAAAAAAATACTTTGCTTTGTGCTGTTTCCAATTGAGAATAGCACAGAGGATAAACTTAACCTTTCCTTCTTGAAGCCAAAGCTTTCATTTCTTCCTTCACTGCCATGCTACTGGTCATCTTTTCTCAAGTCTCATTACCTTCTGGTTCATTCTTCACCCTGTTGTCAAAGACCAGAGAAAGTGGGAGAAGGTATTTGGCTTTTCCCTCAAAGCCCCATGGGATGATATTTAGTTGACTGGTGAATTTGTCATGGACTAAAAGCTGGCCTTCATTGCTGAAGATTCAGAAACCTGGACTCATCTTCTTCAGCAACTAATGATTGAATCAGAATTTATTACCATGAGAAGTATAGTTGTTACCTTGACTTGAATACCTTACTTAATCTTTCTCTCTAGCCTGAGCAAATTTAAAACAGGGCTGTTTACTATTTTCCCTTTGTCTCCATTATTTCTCCCATACTCCCAGATTATTACCAGTTATTACCTGAAGTCTTCCCTGATTATCCTATTTAATATTGAAGCATTCCCAATTCCTTCTCCTTATTTTGTTTCATTTTTCTTTGCAGCACTTATCAGCACTTATGTTTTGTTTGTCTTCACTATATAAGCATATAGGAGCTCTGGTAGCATAGTGCCTAAGGCACTTGACTGTTAACCAGAAGGCTGGTGGTTCAAACCCACCAGCCACTCAGAAGGAAGGTTGGGTAATCTACTTCCGTAGTGATACCTCCTCGGAAATCCAAGGAGGGGTCACTATGAGTTGGGTCCAACTCGAGGGCAGATAACAACAACAACATGTAAGCATATAAGCTCTACAACAGCAGGAAGTTTTGACTGTTTTATTTACCATTCTGGTAGCATTGTCGTTGAAGAATTCGGTTGCCTACCAAAAGGTTGATGGTTTGAACCTACCAGCCTCTCTATGGGAGAAAGATAAAGCAGTCTCCTTCCATAAAGATTTATAGCCTTGGAAAATATAGGCAGTTCTTCTCTATCCTCAAGGATTACTATGAGTTGTAATCAACTAGAATACAGTAGATTTGGTTTTTGGTTTGGGCTTACTGCTGTGGCCTCAGTAAATAGACAAATATATACATTAGGGATTTAAAGAATATTTAAGTATTGAATTCTGAATCATTGAGTTTTATACAAGTAGTCCCCAACATACTCGAGTTATGGTGAACTGGCCTTAATGACTGTTCTATTTAATTAATTTATTTATTTAGGTACTCTTATTGTTAGTAATATGTACGAGTTATGGTGAACTGGCCTTAATGACTGTTCTATTTAATTAATTTATTTATTTAGGTACTCTTATTGTTAGTAATATGTACTGCATACAGTTGCAGTGTGTAACTTGCTAATGTTATCATTCTTATGGCAGCCCCAAATACAAATAAAGACTGGGTTTATACTGACAATAAAAGGCAATAATAATGAAAACTTAAAAAGAGAAGTATTCTAGTTATGTCAGAACAGCTTAAGACTAAGTCATGAGAATGGAACCCTTTTATAAATCAGGGACTACCTGTAATTTGAAAGTTTAGTGAGATAATGTTAAATTATTTCCATGGTATAGATTGCCTTATCAGTTGGAAAAACATACTTAAGATAGTTGGACCTGTGGGCTCGGGACCATAGTTGCAGTGGACATCAAGCTCAGTTGGCTTATACTACACAAAAACATTGTTCCACCTCCTACTTTGGCAAGTAGCAACTGGGATCTTAAAAGCTTGCAAGCAGCCAACTAGATGCAACAATGGGTCTCTCCTCATCCAGAGTGAAAAGAATGGAGAAAACCAAACACACATGGAAACAATTAGTCCAGGCGACTGGTACACTATGTGTTGCTCGGCCTGTACGACTTTGAGACCAGAAGAACTAGATGGCTACAACTGTCATCTACTTGGAGGGGGATCTCTGTAGGAGATCCCAGATAGAGTGGGAGAACAATATGGAACAAAACTCAAAATCATTAAAAAAAAAACAAAAGGACCAAGTTTGCTGGTCTGGTAGATCCTGGTGGAACCCCTAGCTGCCCTCAGGTCTGGAATTGAGCCCACTCCTCTGGCTTCCAACCAAAAAAAAGACAGGCGTATGAGCTGAACATTTACATTAGGTAGATACATTCCTTGTAGAGCTCAATCACGGGAGAATTGAAGGGCTGTGTATGCACAGGGAGTCAGCTTAGGGGGGAAGAGTGCATGGGGTGGAAGGACACAGGGAAGAGGTAACTATGGGGAGTAAGTGGGAGGGGAGCTGTTGCATTGTGGGCACTTTGTGTCATGAGACAAAGTGTATGTGAGCTGCTGTATGGAAAGTGAATTTGCTCTGTAAACTTTCACCCAGATCACAATAAAATTTTTTTTAAAAATCGTCCTTTAAAATAAAGTTAGTGTAAATTTTAATGTGGGGGAATATATATATATATATTACATATGTGTGTGTGTATGTGTGTGTGTATATATATATACATATATATATATGTATGTATATATATGTACACACACATTTAAGCCAAAACATACTCTTTCCTCAACAGTGCTTTTGAGAGGGCAAAGTCAAAATGTGTCCAAGAGTCTCAGTTTTTTGTACATGAAGGATTGCCAACCCCATTTTGACTTGACACATTCCTTTGAAGATAATTATATTGCAGTCAGAGTCTGTCCAATCCTGTTACATTAGGATCCATTTGGTCTCTTCAAGGAGGCTTTAAGGTACTTTTGAACTATTGAATATCGATTTTAAATGTTTATTTTTATGTTGTTGTTAGGTGCTGTGGAGTCGTCTCTGACTCATAGTGACCTCATGTACAGCAGAACAAAATACTGCCTGATCCTGTGCCAACCCCAGAATCTTTCCTACACCTGAGCCCATCATTGTAGCCACTGTCAATCCATCTTGTTGA